ATTTGGGCTTACCAATGCCCCTGCTATTTTCTAGTCATTGATGAACAAGGTGTTCATACAGTATCTCCGGAAGTTTGTGCTAGTATTTTTTGATGACATATTGGTGTACAACATAATTGAGAAGGACCATCTGAAGCATTTGAAGCTGGTATTGGGAGTTCTATATGAGCATCAACTGAGAGCCAACCTGAAGAAATGTTGTTTTGCCCAAACCAGTGTGGAGTACTTGAGCCATATTGTGTCCAAGGAAGGGGTGGCGGTTGGTCAGTCAAAGGTGGAGGCTATGTTGAGATGGCCCTTACCTAAGAATCTGAAGGAGTTGAGAGGATTCTTAGGGCTGACGGGATACTATAGGAGATTTGTCAAAGTATACAGTACTATAACATGGTCACTGATAGAGCAGCTGAAGAAAGATGAATTCCTATGGGGAGAGGCAGCCACAGCAGTATTTGAGAAACTAAAGAAGGCTATGACCACAATACCCATCTTAGCTCTACCAGATTTCACTCAGGCCTTCATAGTGGAGACAGATGCTTCAGGATATGAATTGGGGGCAGTACTCATGTAAGATAGGCGACCCATTGCCTACTTCAGCTAGGTGTTGGCAGCCAGAGCCAGGCTGAAATCAGTCTATGAGAGGGAGTTGATGACTATCATTTTAGCCATCCAGAAGTGGAGACCCTACCTGTTAGGTAGGAATTTCATTATCAGAATAGATCAGAGGAGCCTGATATACTTGTTAGAACAACGAATAGTGACTGAAGAGCATTAGAGATGACTGTCAAAGTTATTGGGGTATGATTTTGAAATCCAGTACATACTAATAAGAGAGAACAAGGCGGCAGATGCCTTGTCCAGATGTATGGTATAGCTACAGACAGTGGCAGTGTCTGTTCCTTTGATGCTGGATTGGGAGGCCATTGAGGAGAGCTCTAAGGATGAGGAGTTGGGGAAGATTAAGACGGAATTATTGAGGGAATGTTGTAGCCACCCAGGGTACTCAGTAGAGAGGGACAAACTGCTGTATCAAGGGAGGTTCGTGATGCCCAAGACCTCAATCCACATCCTAAACTTACTCCAAAAATTTAATGGAAGCGCATTGGGGGCCATTCAGAGGTGCAGAATACCTACAGGAGGTTAGCTGCCGTGCTTTACATGAAGGGAATACATAGAGATGTTGAGGAGATGGTGGAAAGGTGTGAGATCTGTCAGAGGAACATATACCTTGCTATGCACCAGGGGGGCTACTACAGCCATTGACGTTACCAGGACGGGTATGGGAGGAGATATCCATGGACTTCATAGATGAGCTGCCCCGTTCAAAAATGCTTAACGGTGATTCTGGTAGTGGTGGATAGATTGAGTAAGTATGCTCAATTTATTCCCCTCTGACATCCTTACATCGCGGTGTCAGTGGCTTCAGTTTTCATCAGAGAGGTGGTCAGATTGCATGGGGTACTAGAGGCAATCATTTCAGATAGAGATAATATGTTCCTCAGTCATTTTTGGAGGGAGTTGTTCAACTTACAAGGGACAATCCTAAAGAGGAGCACCGCTTACCAGCCACAAACATATGACCAAACGGAAGTCGTCAATAGGAGCTTGGAGACCTACTTGAGATGTTTTATGTCTGAGACACCCAAGCTGTGGGCCAAGTGGCTATCATGGGTGGAGTACTGGTACAACTCCTCATTTGGTGTACTTTGGGAGTAGTAGTACTCCAGTTTCTTCAGTGGAGTACTTGGAGGAGAGAGATCTAGTGTTAGAGGAATTAAAGAATATCTACTGAGAGCTCAACAAATTATGAAGAAAAAAGCTAATGGGCATAGGAAAGACATACAGTTTGAAGAAGGAGAGAGGGTGTTCTTGAAGCTTTGACCATACCGATAGAAGACAGTTGCTAATAGGAGAAATGAAAAGCTCGCTCCAATATACTTTGGACCTTATGAAATATTGGAAAAATTGGAGCGGTAGCATATCGGCTGAAACTACCACCCACGATGACTATTCATCCGGTTTTCCATGTGTCGCAGCTGAGAAAAGCCATTGGAGATTATACAGCCAGCTCGGATTTACCGACAACACTTACTGAGGATTTGGAGGTAATTGTGGAACCCTTAGAGTTGATGGGGGTTCACCAAAAAGAAGATAGAGCTAAAGAAGTATTAATAAAGTTGAAAAATTTGTCTGACTATGATGCCACGCGGGAAACATACGAGAGGGTGAAACAGTAATTTCCTAGCTTTCACCTTGATGACAAGATGATTCTTTGGGAGGGCGGTATTGACAGGTAGGTTCACCCTGAATCGGCCCAGGAGCCGGCCCAGCGGCCGACTCATGTGTATAGGAGGCGGACAAAGGGGGGTCCGCCTCCTTTATTGTTGCAACCCATTTGGAGCAATGGGGAGAAGGGGTTTTGGGAGGCTAGTTTGAGAGGAAAAATTTGAATGAGAGATGTTTGAATTAGGAAGTGAATTGTATGAATAGGGGGGTTTGTTTTGGGAGGGAGTTTATGCATGATTTGAGCTTTCTCTTGGAGTTCTTGAGATTTTTGGCTCTAGATTGCTTTGCCTAGAGATTTGGGAGAGAACGATCCTCCTCTCGAATTGAGGATCATTTGTATCTTGCTTCGTCTTTGTTTGGCTTTGATTCTCTTATTGCAATCCATCGTTTAGGGGCTATTTTCCTCCTAGATTTTGCATTATTCTCACTGTTTTCACCAATTAGTGATAGGTTTGCTTGCAAACTCAAGTATTTCCCTTAGGGTTACTTGGGAACTCAAGTATTTCCAATCACATTGGTAGTATATTTGGGAAAGGGCAACTTGTGGGTTTTTGCCACTTTACAAGAATTATATAATGTAGTAAAAGAACTAATATTAAGATAGGGAAAGCTCTTAGATAGGATGGCCATCACTTTATGATGGGGATGACCAAGGCGGGAGTGCCATTGTTGAGATGTATTAGTTGTGGTGTGTAGAGCATGGACTGGAAGATCTTTGCGGGTGTGGATAGGGAAGATGTTGTCACGGCTACGACCATGGATTAATGTCTGATTGTGCAGTCCATCCTTGATAACAAACCCAGAAGCATCAAAATAAATGTAACAGTTGTTATCAAATGTAAGTTTATATATAGATAGTAAATTGTGTGAAAGAGAGGGAACGTGAAGGAGGTTGTGTAGGCGGAGCTTACAAGCAGAGTATAGAATGGGTAAAATACCTAGCCCTCTATGCTGGATGGGAAGTGAAGTCCCATTCACAATGGAGATGGAGTGTGAGCCTTAATAAGGAGCTGATTGCTGCAGATTTGTGGAGTCTGTGGTAAGATGTGTTGAGCTCTTGAGTCTAATATCCACTCTATGGTGGAATCCGTCTGCGATTGAGTGAGAAGAGCACGTTGATTGGATGAAGGCTAAGGTGTGTACTGGACAAAGTTGCACCTGTGCCAGCACGAGAGCACCGTATGTCCTGTTTTCCCGTAGATTTGGCATATTGGTCGTGGAGTGATGCTGACCTGTGCGGTCGGAGGTCTTCTATTCGCAGAAGATGGATTGAAGGGAGCTCCCCTTCCACGATCTGATTTGGGTGAGGTGGGCTGAGCCTGACGACCTCTGAAGGAGTTTTCGCGGGATGTGTACAAAGCCTGATTGTCTAGTATTGGGGCTATCTGTTTTTTTAACTCCGTCTGAACGTTTATCTATTCTCTGCAAAGGAGTGCGTAGAGCACTTCAAGGCTTGTTGGAAGGGGATAAGTGCAAATAGATTTTTTGAAAGAGTTGTAGGAAGATGAGAGCCCGTTGAGAGTGCAGAGGATGATGTCCTCTCTATCAATCTTGGAGCTAGTGGCTGCTATATTGTCATCTAGAGACTTAATGTGTGCTAGGTATTGGGTTACAGTCTGATCTTTCATTTGAATATGATACAGTTCATTCTTTAATTGAATGACCCTTGACCGGTTTGTAGGTTGGAGACGGAGTTCCACCGTTGTCTAGATCTATGAGCTGTTGTGAGATGGAGAATGTAAGGTAGCATAGATGGAGATATCGTGGAGAGTAATGCAGCCACAAGGTTTTGATCGATCAGTTTCCATTGATGATGATCATTGAACTGAGAGTTCGGGCTGGATCTGGAGGGCAGGTGAGTTGGCCATTGAGATATCCTTCAAAGCCATTGGTGGAGAAAAACTTGTAGATCTGAAGACGTCAGATGACATAGTTTTCTGAGGTAAGTTGGGTATTGACTATAAGCTTGAGATTGGACATTAGATGTTTTAAGGAAGATGAAACAGTGAAGTCGCCATGGATGCCGAGAGAGAGGAATTAAGAGGGGTTGATGAGGATGAGTTTTGTTTAGCCATTGATGCCCTTGACCGTGGGTGCTCTGATGCCATAAACGAACTCATGCAACAATTTTAGAGAGCACAAAGAATAGTGGTGGAAAGAAATGTATTGTATTTCATACTAGGTTTAATACAATGACCAGCGGTCTTTTTAAAAAAAAAGAAAAAAGACTTTTGGTATTATTGGTGAATGCAAGGGAACAAGAGGTTAGAAAGTGCATGATGTTTCTGTTACTGGCAGATTGCCTAGAGCAGACTAGTGGAGATCCATTTGCTGAGCTGGCTGGTGCACATTAGTAGAGTGTAGCTTGTGGTGCATTGAGTTGAGGTGTTGACAGAAACTAATAAATATGCATGCATACATGGCTATATAGATGTAATAAATGATTATTCCTTGGGTACCTGGTTTGATATTATTGATTCCTATTTTCCCAATTAAACTCCATCCTTAATCCCAAAACACCCAACAGAACCATGATGTGACATAATGAAATTGATAAAACATTTTATCAAATAAACTCACCAATCATAGGTAGTTCTTAGGCATGCTTGCATCACTTGATTTCCGTTCATGTAATAATATTTTGCTAATGAATGCTAAACATTATCTGACCCATTTCGGTTATGTTATATGGCCACATTATTTGACTACATGGTTAGGTTGATTTGACAGAGGGTCGATATTTACTGTCGGGTTCATCAGATGCATCCGTTGCCATTTATGATATTCAGCAAGCTTCAGATTATGATGAATATGGCTTGATTGCGAAACACAGGAGTCTAGTTGCCGTTGACAAGCATCATGAACAGGGACATAAATTTGCTATATCATCTGCTATTTGGTATCCAATAGACACTGGATTGTTTGTCACTGGTTCTTATGATCATGACATCAAAGTGTGGGATACAAATACTTCCCAAGTAAGTTTTCATTTCGCTTGCTGCATGCATGCCTACTTCAATGAAAACCAGTCACCCAGTTTTATTATATATTAATTTTATTAGGCTATTATGGAATATAAAATGCCTGGAAAGGTTTATGGCACTGCGATGTCCTCCATTGCAACAACCCACATGCTCATTGCTGCTGGAAGTGCAGATGTTCAAGTCCGTTTATGTGATATAGCTTCTGGAGCATTTACTCATACATTGTCAGGGCATCACGGTGGGTATCTTTTTCAGTCCTACTTTTGCATGGATGCATTCTTCTATGATAATATCATCTTTACATGAAATGACCAGTCGAACACCTAAGTGACAATATTATTCTTTTATTTCTTAAACATATAAAGAGCCATAATGGTGGGCTGAAACTTTTGTTTTCATGTTAATTTTGCCTCTTATAGCATTAATACCATCTCTCATAAATATGGAATTCTCAGGTTGCTCTTGTCTGGCGGCTATCTTATTTTGATAACATCATGGACGAGGGATTTTTGGCTGGCTAATATTTTCCTTACAGAATTTTATGATTATAAAAATTCTTTTGACATTTAAAACTATATGAAGTAATTTCTTAATAAATTTCTAGTTTGAAGTACAATTCTTGGTGGTCCTTTTCTTCTGTAAGTGTGAACTCGGAGATTTTTTAGAGAAATTATCTCCTTGTACAACCAGTAGGCTTAATTTGATGACTTATATTCCTCTTATTTTTGTTTTCTTATCTAAATTTTTGTAATTGATTTAGCATGTGTGAGATTAATATTTCATTAGATCTGAGTTGGATTTATACAATAGTATGATTTTCAATTAATTGGACATTTCCTTATACTTTTGGATTTTTATGCATTAATTTTAGTAAACGATTGTTAATTTATGAAATTTGTATGTTTCTTTGTTTGTTCAATTTCATCCTAGTAATGAAGTAGTTTAAGTTAAGAGTTTGTGATTTGTGAATTAGAATGTGTTCGTGTGATATGCATCTTATTTTAGATTTGTATTTATGTTTTCTTCTCTCTTCTTCGTCAAATTCTTGTCCTTCTTCTTTGAATAGTCAACAATATCTAGACAATCTCCTTTCATGTGTCTAGACTTTTTTAATGATATCAAATGATGTCTTAACATGCAGAAATCTTCTTAGTATGAAATCTATGAATCTTAGATTGTGTACCTTTGATTTTTTTTCCTTAGGCAGTTTCCAAACCTTCTTGAAATCGTGGCCAACTCATCATTATCACCATCTAAGCCCTTAGCGCTAGACTCTTCAGAATTATCTACCTGCAAAGTAATGATTTTTTTTCCTTTCTTTATCTTTCTTCGTTGAGCTATCAATTTTGTTCCCTAAAGCTGGTATCTATTCTTTTTTTTTTTTGAAAAGAAAAGCTAAAGAGCTTTATTAAGGAGAAAAAACTGCCTTACTCTCTACAAGCATCCGACTCCTTTTCTAACAGAGTAATGAAGGAAGGAGGGATATCGCTCTAAGTAACATCATTCCAAATAAAAGAGCTAAAGCAAGCAAAGTTAGCACAAAGATCGGCTAACTTATTGCTTACCCTATCTACACATTTAAAAACAACAAAATCAAAATCTTTAATAAAAGAGAGGTCAATCGAATCATTACCACCTTTCTTCACCATCTCCTTGATGAAATTGATCACATTCATGTTGTCCCCTTCAATGATAAGGCCTTTGTAGTCTAGCATCCATTCTTTAATCACTAGTTTAATAGCAAGGATGGATTGAAGCTCTACTGCTGCTGCATCCCAGTGAGTAAGAGGCTTTCTGAAGGCCAACAAAAACCTTCCATAGTGATCTCTAAACACTCCTCCGATATCCGTCTTGTATGAATTGTGAAGAGATTTGAAATCCAACAAATTTAACAATATCGGACAATGGTCCGAAGCTATCCTTGCCAAATGTCTCACCATCAATCTATGAGAAGAATTAAAGGCTATTGAATTGACTAGGCATCTATCCAGCTTTTCAAGAATTCTCTCTGCTCCACTCTTGTTATTACACCAAGTATACTTGGGCCCAACACAAGCCACCTCATGCAAGTCATTGCACGTGATAAAAGACTTCATCTTCTTTGGACCTAAGCCAAAAACAAAGTCTCTTCCCCATTTTTTTTTCTTTTTTGGATAGAAGACAGTTAAAGTCTCCCCCTATAACCACAGGGAAATCTTCAATCAAATGATGCTCCAATCTCTCCCATAAATTCCTCCTCTTGTACACATCTTTGTTCCCATAGATTGTAGCAATTCTCCATGTGCCCCTATTGATCACATTGAGATCTCCAATAAGAATCTGTGTTGAAGCTTCCAGCAAGTTAAAAGTGGCCAAATCTTGCCTCCATATTACTAAGATTCCTCTAGAGAGACCTTCAGATGGAACATGACAAAAATCCCAACCTTCCCCAACCAAAGAACTAACAATCTTCTTATCTACAACCGTAAGCTTAGTTTCCACTATGCCAAGGAAGAATAACCCAAACTCCCTAATGAAATCCTTCGCATATAGAGAAGCTTTAGTCTTTTGAGCTCCTCTACAGTTCCAAAAACCAATGGACGACATTAATGATCCAAGGGGAAAAGGTTCCCCGCCCTTTGTCTTAACTTCTTCTTCCAATTTCCTATTTCTTGGAATCAGCTTGATGGGACCTAAGTCCTTTAATTTCTTAGACCTTTTCTTCCTCGTCTTGCTTGACCCTTCCTCTGCATTGCTGATTTGAGCCTCCATATAATTATTATCTAACACTTCTTCATTGACTCCTCCTGTAGGAATGTCCTGAAGCTAAATTTACTTCAGGAACCTCACCTTCAACATCAATAATTTCTCCTTCCTCACCTATGTTGATTAAAACATCAAACTGATTAAGATGCATATTCTGTCATCAGCTTTTGAATAACTGATGTTTTTGCTTCCATTAGCTATTATTCCAGGATCTTCACCGTTATTGCTAGGAGGCAGCAAAGCCTCCTCTGAAGTCTTCTTCACTCTTCTGTCATCAAATTTCCTCTGGTCCCCAATGTTCTCAACCTCTGATTGGACTTCTTCTCCCACTTTTTTATCTATCTTAATTGAATGTCTGACGAGGCCACTTATTTTGGAATCTGTAGTTTTTTCCTCTCTTCCTCCCATAGTCCACATGTAACCATGGACCATAATCATCTTTATTAGCCTTGAAGACATCTTTCTCTACAGTATCAGCCATTGAATTCTTCCTCATAACAGCTACATCTCCTTCAACAGACCTTGCTGCATCTTTATTAAGAACCTGCACAGGTTCCTCCTTGCTCACCTTACAGACTTTTTCCAAATGACCTATCCTTCCACATTTGAAGCAGATGAACAACATCTTTTCATAACAAACTTTCTGATAAAATTTTCCCAATGCTCCTTCAACCCATACTCCTAAAAGTAGTTTGCTTTCCAACTTGATTCTAACACAAATTCTGGCATATTCACGCCTCCCCCATTGAAACATGTTTTCATCAATAAGAAAAGGAACACCAACCTTTGATGAAATCCTACATACATTAATCCTGTCCCAGCTTTGCAGAGGGAGATTAGGAAGCCTAATCCAAATTGGTGCTGTTAATCCCTTCAAAGAAGAGGGATTAAAATCAGGGGACCATTTATCCAGACCGATTATGCTGCCACTTACATACCAGGGTCCATTATTTAGAACAACTTCCATAGCTTCTTGTTCCTCAAAGGCACATAAGACCCATCCACCACCAAGTAAAGTCATATGAAATCTTCCAAACTGGTTCCATTGCTTCCTTAGCTCCAAACCAATGACATGATAAGGAGCATAATCGCCAAACACCTTAATAACTAGAGCTTTCTTCAATTTGTTAGAGTTTTCCAACTCATTTTGTTGATGAAGTTTCACAAAACCATTATCAGAAAAATCCTTCCCATAATCAAAATCGATTGTTCTGAAATTAGGCTTGGAATTCCAGGCATTCACCACTGATTTGCCCAGTTGAGGAGGGATGGCAGACTCCATTCCTTCCTTAGAGTTGCAGTTTCCCAACATAGCTGATTCACAAACTCTGACCTTCTCCAGGTCGTTATTCTCCTTTTGCACTTCATTAACATCTTCTCCATCTCTGTGATTCCCCGTGACCATATCAACAGTTCCACCCAGTAAGGCTTCATCCATAGCCATCAATTTATTAATTCCCGATGATGAACCCTTAACAGATTCCAATAAATCTTCAGTTGCCACATCTCCATTATTTTTGCAGATTGCTATATTATCATTTCGACAAAACTCCTTCCGAAAAATGCTTGAATCGTCGAACATTACATTTTTCCCTTTACCAATGCATTCCGAAAGGATTTTCGGAGATTAATGTCCTCCTTCATTGATCACAAGAGGTTTAGCAGTTTTAAAGCTCAAGTTGGTCTCCCGTTCGAACATCTTGTTAGCATCGCCAAAAGCAGGAGGCGAAACACCTTGGTTATTGCGAGACAGAATTTTAATCGCAGTCGTTGCCGGGATACGACTGTCGCCGGCGCCGGAGGAAGCCCGACGTCCTTCCGTCACCATCAGTGGCAAACGAAACTTGCGGGAATTCAGAATTTCAAAATTCCGTTAAACTCTCTCTAGAAACGTGGAGCTTCTCTCTCTTAAAATCTTGCCAAAAAAATAATGGAGATCAGCTAGTATAGATTCATTAGCTATCAAAGAAGCTAAAAATTGACCAAGTGGATGTGTTCATAAATCATTTGCTTCACTAATGGCAGGCACCTTAACATCTCATTCTTTTGGAAGGCATCTAAGAAGACATCTTAGTTCTTATGAGTTCTTCCTAAAGCATGCAAGGCGTTAATATTTTTACAAATCTAACATACTTTAGGGGTGTCAATATATTATTTGACCTAAAAATCCCACTTGGATCAAACCTAAAAATTATGCATTCTAGTCAACCTATTTAATAAATAGGCCGAGTTTAGATTCTTTTTTTTTGGCTAATTTAATAAATAGATCAGGTTCGAGTTGACTCGTCAACCTGAAATCTAATTATAAATTTCAAGTCATGTATATTTCAACATTTAAAATAACTCATACATATATATATTTCAACATTTGAAAAAGCCACTTTAAAATCATTTTTTAATTTAAATGGTTTGGTTGGTCAGGTCAGGTTAAATGGGTTGCCGACAGATCGGGTTTGGGTCCTGATTTTGACTCGTTAATTGAGTGTAGCAAGTCGGATGGGTTCAAAGCAAGTCAATTTCTGGTCAAACTTGAACCCGACTTAAAAATCCATTTTAACACCTTTAACATATATATCAGAATTAGCTTCAATTGATAACATTCATAATATTTTTTATTCATGAACCAACCCACTGATAAGTGCATCCTTTATATCACTAATTCATTCATAAGTAATGTAAGCTTGTCCCAAATCACTTTCATTGTAGCACTATGAAGAGTGTTACAATCCCTTGCATCAAGTTCATTTAGTTCACGTTCTAGTACAGCCCATTCCTCAACCTCAAAATATTTTTTCCTTTTTTAATACATTAAATTCAAGAGTGGATGTGCGAAATTGATGTGTAAGTATATGCCACATGCATCTTGACCTCTACTGAATATGCTAGCACGGTTCTTCCAATAATCAAATGGTAAATTACTAGGCAATTATGGTTGATGTGTAGATTGGTTTTTGGATAATAAACTAATGGGAAAAGTTTAAGCCATAGTGCATGTATGAATCTACTCTAAATTGTTAAACCAAATAAGAGAGTCGAGGCTCTAATACCAAATTTGAGATGACTATGACACCTCAAGGAGGGGGAGGTGAATCTACTCTAAAAGTTAGTTTATTCTAAAAACTATATGAAATTTAAGACAATTATGTTACAAGAAACTTCCATGCACAGTGATACTATCAAGGAAAATGATAAGATTAAATAAAAGTTAGATTAATCACAATAAGCACTGTAGTAAGAAACTACATGAAGAAGCAAGTGTAGATAAAGATAAATGAGAAGGCAGACAGTATATTTATATGATTTGTCTACCAACCCTTCCTATGTCCACACCTAAACAACCAGGCTAGGATTCCACTTCTCAAGTATTAGAGAAGTCCAATACAACCTACTTACTCTCCTATACAGTAGAGTACAACCCAAATCTATGGGATAATGAAGGACTCATGCCAGGCCAATGCCTTCGGTAAGGAAAGTGAAAAAGATTACAACAACACCAATAACAACATTAAGCCTTTATTCCACTACGTGGGGTCAACTACATGATTCCTTTTTCAACGTTGTGTTATGTTAAGAGTCAAATTCTCATTTAAATCTAATAAAGAAAGGCCGTTTCTAATATTTTCTAACCAAGTCTTTGTAAGTCCACCTCTACCTTTTTTTACTTAAGTCAAATCTAATACATACTCTCCTAATCGGTTCATCGGAAGTCCGTTATTTTATGTGACCAAACCACAAGGTGACTCTTTCTAATCTTATCTTCCACTGGAGCTACTCCAACCTTTTCACGTATATGCTCGTTTTGTACTGTCTCTAAAGGATTAATCCAGATAATTTTAAGTCACAAGCTTTTGCTAAAAATGAAAATAAAAACTTGAAAATAAGTGGTGATCTTACACCATGTTTGTGCTCACCTTAGTTAATTTTATATTTTGTAAAGATTAACAAAAGATGAAAATGACATTTGGCAATTTTATTTTAGTCATACAGATTTCACAAATTAGATTTCAGTAATTTGATAAAGAGTTTCCAGCAAAACGAATTGCAGCAAAATACTAAATTAATTTCCCATAACAGATCTTAGCAATCTACAAAATAGGTTTAAAAAACTGATCTTAGCAAAACTTCAAAGTAGATTTTAAGCAATTGTAAGAACAGATTTTGGAGATCAGTTTTTTATTTACGAGATAGTTTTTTCCTGGCTATTTTAGCCGTTTTACCTTGATGATAATTTGTGGTGATATCACCAGAACCATGGGGACAATAATATTTGTTCTCATGCTGCTAAAGAAATCAAGTTACACAACTAGTTTAGATGTTTATTTTGGTGGAATTTATTTTCAAGAATTATTTATATGTTTGTTTGAATTGAATTAACTCAATAACGATGCCAAGAACTTAGAGAAATTTCTAAGGCAGTACTTATAAGTGACTTTGGACCTCCTTAATGTCATACACTCCCAGAGTTGATTTCAAAGTTATCAAAATAAATATTTGTAGATATATTTTCATTTTGCAGTATCATCCTAATTCCAAAACATCATTTGCTTCATTTCATTCTGGTTGTTTCATATAATATGATTCAACGATGGCACATTGAGTTGCTGAAAAGAGAGAGAGAAAACACCCTCTTCTTAACTGCTGGGCCCTCTTACAGTTGTTATCTGTGTCTTACTCAAAGCTGTTCGATAATATGTACACTGTTTCTATTGCAGATGGAGTAATGACTCTAGAATGGTCGTCCTCTAGTGAATGGGTTTTGATGACTGGAGGGTGTGATGGTGCCATACGCTTCTGGGACATAAGAAGAGCAGGATGTTTTCTTGTTTTAGATCAATTACGGTCTCAACTTGGGAGGAGGCCAGCTTTATCTGTGCATTCATTGAAGAATGTAGGCTAGATCATCTTTTTAACATAAATGCTTTTTATACCAAAGATCCTTTACTTCTGATGTTCTGAAACATAATTCAGATTTATTTATTTTAAGATGTATTTACATTATTTATATATTTGACACCTAAATTTTTATATTTAGGTATAGAACATTTTAGTGTTTCAATTACATCAAATATATACATGAAAATGCATACTTCATTTGACAAAAGTTAATAGTAATAAAATTCTTCATGTGATTTAAAGATTTGAATGTTATATAAGACAATATATAGATTTAACTATTAGATATATAAATACTCTCAAATTTATGGTATGCATGTAAATCCCACCTATTTTAATGCATTCTTCTAATTTGCATGGTAGATGGATTGTACATTAAGTATGAAATCTGTCTTTTACATTTTTTAGCGGATAATAGATGCACCTATCTTCTGCACTTTTATTTTCTCCTTTTGAAATTTGAATCTTATCTCTAGTTTAGCTCAAGTACTTCAAACCCGTGACTGAAATTATACATGATCTTTTGTTGGCTGTTTGAATGTTAAGACCCTTTCATTATACTCTTCTAAATACAACTAGTCACCCTATTCCATTTCTGACAAAGCTTTTTCATCTTAATAATCCTAGATTTTTATTTTTTTTGTTGGAATTGAAGCCCTAAGTGGTTAACTTTATAATTTGGGAGAATTTAAAAAATCATTTTCAGTCAATATTGTTCATTATTAGGGTGTTTTAATATTTCATTTTGCTATTTGAACTTTATTATCTTTGTCCACTTGTTAATAAAGGACCGAGTTCATGTGTTGCCTTTGTAAGCTATCATATGAGTGATGAACTTGAGATTTTGCATTTTTATTATGATTATTTATTTATTTATTTATTTATTTTTTTTTATAAAAAGCATTGAAGGCCTAAGGGAACTCACAATCAAATATTTTTGCAAATTTCATAGTCAAAAGCTTATTTGTAGGAATAAGTTTATAGTGCATTGTTTGGAATTTACATTTTTAAGATTAATAAAGCTTAAAGCCATATCTTATTTTTATTTTGCACAGTATTCTCGGACCTGAAATTTAGGAGTTTGATGCGTTCGGTCGAAGCACATGCAGGTGTTTTGACTTTTCTATTAAGTAGAATGCACGCCTTTCTATGTTTGCTGATACGCTCATACACTTTTCAATATACTTATATCCATTTCAATGCGCCTACACGATGCATTTTCATACTTTTTAGTGTTTTTACATAACATATTCATATGCTTTTCAATATACTTAATGCTTTTCAGTGTGCCTACATGATACATTTGCACTTTTTTTCTGTACATTTGCATGACTTATCCACATACTTTTTAAATATTTGTGCTTTTTTAATGCATATTCTTTGTTGAATTTTCTTGTTTTTATCATGATCATGCACTTTGTAGAGTAACTACATTTTTGAGTCAACTATACACTTTTTGAGACAATGCATGCTTAACAAGATAGTGTCATACATTTGAGGTGATCGTACGCTTCTTACAGCAACTACATGCTTTTTGAGGCAACTGCACATAAATTTTATAATCATATTTTGAGCATTCAAGATTTTAGAAGTTTCCGGATTTGATTGTCTTTGCGGGGGTTTGTCGTTAAAATGTGCGCAGAAATTGTATTTTTATAATTTTTTAAAAGATCATCTTTCGCCATGTGCCTTCTTATGTGTATGTTCGTTTTTGTTGATCTGATGGATTTGAAGGCAGATGGGAATCTTTTGGGAGTATTATGAGGTGATACTTTGTCTTTATATGCTTATCATTTTGCGTGGCAGGACCTACCAGGAATCATTCCTCCCTCTTATAGTAATTGTTTAGCTTGGTTTACTTTTCCATTCAAAGTTGAGTTAAGTTTTCCTCCCTCTTATAGTAAGTGTTTAGCTTGGTTTACTTTGCCATTCAAGTTCGTTGAGTTAAGTTTTGAGCGATTAATGATATTTTGAGATTTCAAGTGCAAATGAGAGGTTATGTTTGTGCATGTAGGTGAGCTACAATGTTTTTTTTATAAGTCCTCTTTAAGTTTTGTTAAATTTCAATACTCATTCTCATTTTGCAATTTTTGTTTTTTTATTTCATTTATATTTTTCTTGCTTAATGATTCGTCAATGTTTTATTCTTTGTAAGTCCATTTAATTTGAGTTTTGACAGTAACGACATCTCGCCCGCGCAGAGGAATTCTTCGAAAGTGTTGGGCCTTCCCAGAATGATTAACAAAATGTGCATGGTCTTGATCTTCTATTCCATTGCAATTAAAAAGTGCATATCAGTCTTCATCGCCTGCACAAGTGAAAGTATATATTTCCCCGCCGCATTGGATCAATACATTTGTATACTTATTTTACAAATTTGTGTTGAAACAATGCGAGTGGGTACTTAATTTTGAGGTTTTCAAATTATATCTTGACACAAGGCGACACTGTCATATTTGACAATGGTTTGCGATAATGTAATTCAAATTTTTCTCTTTTTTTAATTTTCCTTTTGTATGTTCAATTTTATCTTTCTCAAAAGAGTGTTGGAGACAGAGAGTGAATGAAGAGAGTGGGGAAGCTAGAGAGAGATAGGGGAAGAGGGAAGAGAGAGAGGGCCTTCTGTTTAGAGTGAGAAAGGGAAAGAGAGAGAGGGAGTCTGAGGTCAGTAACAGGTTTAGGTTCACCAACCGCTAAGGAGCACATCAAGCGGTGGTTTTTGGTTTATAGGGTGAGGTTGGGAGTTTTCCATAAAGATTAGAGGGAAGGTATAATGCCCATATTATAAGTCCACTAAGTATTTTATATCCCTAAGCTAAGGCCACTTACCTTTGCATGCATTGGTTGATGATTTCCTTATTCCATCCAATAGGGTAAGGTGACTTTGTGGATTTAAGTGTATAATATTTTTATGTAATAGTGGAATTGCTAGTTAAAACCTTAAGCTATTGTTACTCACACCCGTCACTTTGTTTCTGGAGACTGAAACAATTTTCTGCGAGCTCCATATGCGAGCTGTTGTGGGAAACGGGGCTGATGCAGGGTGTTGTTTACTAAAAACTGCATACCATGAGCTGAGAGGGTGAGGGTACTACTGGTTAGAGCTATTGCAAGCTGCTGTGGGGAGAATTTCAGTAAACTAAGGTAAAGAGAAGTTAGGTAGATGCTGTAATTAATGGCTGAACTTATTATTTGGCTGAAATGAGGTGTTTTTTGCTTAAATTAGGTAATATTACTGCTGTAGGGTTGTTGAAATCAGTTGACTAGTGTTGAATTCAGCTGAGGTGAAGGTTGTAGTTGCTGAAACCAGTATTGGTGCTGAAATCTTTGTGTGAACAATCTGCATATTGCTAAAATCTGTTGAAAAATACAACATAGGACTGTTGTGCATGGCTGACATCAGCTATTAGTGCTGAAATCAGTGAGGAGGAAGAGGAAAAGCTAAGGGCAAGCAAGGGCATTGTTGTTTGTTGATATTAGGTAATAATGGATGCTGAAATTTATGTCTTTGTGTTGAAATCCATGAGGAGAAGATAAGAAAATTCAAAAATTAATAAAGAAATAAAAAAGGAATGGAAGTAGAGAGGAAAAAGGGAGTAAGATGTGAGATTTTGGGTGGAATGAGTTCATTTTAGATAAAATTTTATATAAGTTGTGTTATTTTATATATGTTATAGGCAGGCATGTTTAAATGAAGAAACTTATGCTTTAGGTGGTATACAAAATGAAAAAGGAATCATGGTACTTTAGGTGAACCAATTTATCTGATTGTTATGAAAAATGATGTGAGATACCCAATGATGCAATAGAAAATAGTGAAAAAAATTATATTTGCAACATCAACTTTGTTATGATTATGATAGTATTCCATTCCAGTTCCTTCATGCCTAAATTTGTTTATTTATTAAGTAGGGATTATCATAGTTTATTTTACGTTGGTTAAAAAAAAGAATGGTATTGAAAAGGTCAAACAAGTCATATATGGGAGATATGCCCGCAAATTAAAGGAGAAAGACTTGACGAGGTAAACCTACATTCTCGAAATTCTAAAAATTGAAAATATGGACCCAACCTTGAATTTAAAAGCTGGAATGGTGCAAAAGCCTATAATCATTATATCTTGTATCAATGTGTTGAACAGTAAACATAAAAAAAGTAATGTTATGCATTTCTTATTATAATTCTCAATATGTTCATTTTTATTTCTTATACTCTGCTTATATATTTTATTGAGCCCTAGCTCAGTAATAGTGGTTGAACTGCAGGGAAGGGGAAGGAACGAGTAGAAAGTTCGTTAGGGATGTTAGGTCCCGAGGCTAACCAAGAGAGAGGATGAATTGATATTTTAAAAAATTCTTTCAAACAATTAAAACACAAACTCAAACCAAACCAAAATTCACCACAAAGAAAATCAAAGTGCGGAAATTAAATGCGAAAATAATAAAGAAAATACCACACCAGATTTATAGTGGTTCGGTTAAACCTTGACCTACGTCCACGCCTTGGAGGAACCCTTCGAGTATTGTACTAAACTCAATGTCTCTCCTTTAGCCCCCATAGCCAAGTGGAGAAGCCTTTACAAAATCACTTCCACCTTCCCCGGTGCGGTGGACTAGCCGGGCCCTTTGACACCAAAGAGATCTTCTTCTCACAAAACTTCCCTCAAATCGAGCCTTGAGTCCGATGGTACTAAGCTGCAAGCTCGCCGGAGCAACCGTGTGGAATCCCCCACACTCCCTTGAATCCCCCTCTCTCAAACTCCACTCTTTCAAGATCTCTCTTCAAGTTTCCTCCAGAAGAATGAAGTTTCAATGGCTGCCAAAGTCTCTTACAAAGTCCCTTGTCAAAGCTTAAATAGAAGAGCTCCAAACGAGCTCATTAATTGTAACTTGCCGACTTTATCATCTATAACGATATGAATATCGTCCTGGCTGATCAGAGTAAATTTCGCTCAATCAGCCTAGTCGGTTTGGGACGATCAGAAGATTTTTGGTC